AAGGACGGACAGACAGTCACCCGGATTTCAACTCGTCTCTTCATCCTGATCATTTATATATATATAACCCTATATCTAACTCGATTAATTTTAGGTGATACAAACAACCGTTAGGTGAACAAAACTATTATACTCTGTAGCAACAGGTTGCGAGAGTATAAAAATAATAAATTAGTTTATTTTTCTTGCTCTTCCGCGAAGAAGTGGCATTTTTTGTAGAAATAAAATACTATGAAAAAAAAAAAAGAATCATGGGCACATTTTTGAAGCCACTATTTTGAGTGGAATATTTCAAGGTTAAGTTGTACTTCTGCCACGGATTCCAATGATTCTTTCAGATTCAGTGAAGAAATATATAAATAACTAAATAATAAATTAGTTTATATTTCTTACTCTTCCGCGAAGAAGTGGCATTTTTTGTAGAAATAAAATAATATGAAAAATACACAAGGACCAATGAGGATTAATCATAAACAAAATCATGGGCAACATTTTTGAAGCCACTATTTTGAGTAGAAAATTTCTAAGTGAAGTTGTACTTCTGCCGCGGATTCCTTCAGATTCGCCGTTCCCATTAAACATTTATAATTATCCATCTGCTTGGCACTTGCGCTGACTATTAATAAGGCACAAGGTCAAACGATGACGATTGGTGTATTAGATTTAGAAAATCCGTGCTTTTCTCACGGCCATATATACGTTGCGTGCTCGAGAGTAGGAAAAGCATTGCCGGTTCTACGTTACCGGAATTGACCCAGATTTTATCCGGCCAAGGGCTGTTTTGTCGGCGATCTAACCCTGCTTGGATCGGTAAGTTCTAGTTTAAGTTTGTTGTCATTAGAGCAACGCCTAGCAGCAGGGCTGCTCCGTATCCTTTTGACCCGTGCTGGCATCGAGTCCAACCCGGGCCCCGAGAAATTTTTCTGCTGCGTTTGCGCTAGAAGGCTCCATCCAAACTCCACCTCGGTTAGGTGCAATACTTGCAATGGATGGAGCCATCTTAAGACCTGCTCAGGCCTTAAGACCCATAGGGATTGGACCACGAGCTACGTGGCCCCATGCTGCCAACACAATACTGCGACACCTGCATTAACGGCTGTGCAACCTGCACCATGTTCGCGCACTGCGCCGCCACTCCAAGATAGGACCTCCACGGCCCTAAGAAGCTCACACCGGCAGCATGACTACCAGTCAGACTAACCCCCTCCCCAACCTTCATTACGATCCAATCCTCGTGCTAGAACCACTCAACAACTCCCGGTTCCTCGAACAGTCTGTTCCGTTTGTCAGACCGTAATATGCCGGATCTTATCACCCAAACGGGGACCTCTCAAGGATTAACCAAATATATTGTACATCCTAATGCATTACAATAACTTCAATTTTTGTATTAAAACAACATCAAGTTTTCATTCAATACAGCTTCTATAATTGACATCTCTGAAATCATTCTTATATACATCTCTGAAATCATTCTAATAGACACATTGTCACGCTATCGATTGGTCGGATTGTGATAAATTTATATGAATGACGTTAGATATTATAAGTTTCTAATAAAAATGTTCATCAAAACAGTCTAATTGTTACAGCTAATTTCAAAAAGTTTACATTTAAAACATGGGACAGGACAACGTCTGTCGGGCTTCTAGTACACATATAAAATTAAAACGCACAGCAAGGAAGGACGGGAAAATTTGCACAGTTATTTGTTAATCAGACAAAATTTGGGATAACACCACCAGCACAAAGATGATCATAGCAGTATAGTGTTCATGTACATACTGTGTATTTAATTATTTGGTATTTTAATAATCGTTGATATTTATTTATTTAAGGGATTCAATGTGAGCAAAGCCGCGGGAAAAGCTAGTAACTAATAAAATATAATCAAAAAATAAAATAGAAAACTACAATGGAAAAAACAACGGTAAAAAAAAGTAATTGTTCATTTTGTCTTTCTGCTGGCATAAACTACACATTTTTAGGACACTTGACGACGCATTTCCATACAAATCCATATAGGTTTAATCTGGCTATAGCGTTTTGTTCAAAAAATATCTCTGTACCTAAGGTTAATCTAGACCCACCCATTTTAATGCTATTTTTAAAATTAGGGGTATATTTTAGAATAGCATTCCCCGAATTCGGAGTTTAAATGGGTATGGACGATTCTTCGATTTATAATGGATTTTACAGTTATATTTTTAACTTTTATATGCACTAACACTTCATTTATTCGTTTCTAGGCATTTATTTTATATTAAACTTGCGGACCCCAGCCTGCTGTGCTAGGCATCAAAAAATATTCTAGCATAACGTGTGAACGTAAAGAAAAAAACACATTTTTTGGTATTATTTTCTATTCATGTGCTCTTTTATTAACAATATTTTCCATTTTTCCATCACTAGCATCCATACACAATGCTGTTGGTTTGCCAACACGATTGCCCTTGAGATTTATTAGTTGTAATTGGAAAAGCAAGACAAATTGGTATTTGTAATCGCTTGAATTCAAATGAGAAATCAGGTGGAATCACTGGAATACGATGAATTAAAACATCTTCACCTTTGATTTTACCAATTGAAATTGTAGCTTCAACTATATTATTCATTAATCGTTTTACAACTAATCTGGTGCAATTACAAAGTAGAGGTTGATTGAGATTTTGTAAGATTATTGATACACCGACTTTAAATTGCAAAAAATTGGGCGGAATTCCTGGCAGATCTAATGAATGTAAAAATTCTTTTGGATAGTTAAGAACGTCATCTTCATTCATAATAGTGTCAATCGATTTATAATCAATAATGGCACCTTATAATTCATAATGTCAACATTAAGTTCTATAACATTTTTAATGGTACAGGCCAATACTGATCTTTGACTTAACCACGTATGATTTTTATAATTACGCATGATATCAATAAAAACACTTTTAATGAAATCGGCTTTGGATTCTGTAAATGAACAAAAATTATTTGGCAATGTTACTAAAACATCATTATAAAAAAGCAAATTTGGGAAATAATTAATTTCCTTCTATTTGATTTTTAAGGAAGGAATATACATATATTATATAATATATTTGGCGTATTCATAAGGTGTGATATTGTGTCATATCAACACTGTTGTTGTTTCCCATACAAAATTGAAATACGACAAATAAAACCCGGGGAGGTATGTTTTTTGAGTGTGCTATTCTATCAGCTGTATCGGTTTACTTTTTTATCGTTGACGTTTAAGTGTCTAAAATTAATAAATTAAATAAATTTTATCAATTTCTTTAACAATATGGAAAGAAGCCACGATATTCAGGTAAAAAAGGATAAGAAAATTAAACATAAAAATATTTTGTTGCTTCTGTGGTTGGAAATGATTTTATTGCAGTGTAAACCAAAACTTCGCGGTTTCAACATAAAGCAAGTTTTCACAAAAACAAGCTTTAATATTATTTTTGTCACTTTTTCATAGCATTTTTCTATTCTACATTTTTCACTACCAGGTGGTATCACTTATATTCAATATTTAACTTTTTGTTCAATTCTATTTAGCTGCTGTGCCAAACAGTAACATTTTTCCCTGTGTTGAGTCGGGGTAAAAAATTTCTTATGGTGTAAACAAATTTTACATTTTGTTGTGCCAAATGGAAAGTAAAATGTTGACAGTTGAAGTTCAAAGCAAACGCAATTGCGTCGTTTGAATGTTTGTCTTGTTATTTACACTATTATATATATTTGTAAAACAAATTAAATAAAAAGCAAATACTTTGCTTGCTTATAACAATATTACTAAAAACGATTAATTATTTTGAAGATTTGTTATTAATTGAGTATTTTAGGCAACGTGCTAGGCTACTACGACGCTACTTGCATGCGAAACACATGTATATGTATATACATAAATATATCTTCATATATACAATGAATATATTATATATAAATACATCTAATCCGGATTATATTTATATACCGGTAGCTGTAAACATGTGCAGTATGCGTAGTGAAACGTGCTCCGTAATATCTGAAAATATTACATCAATCGTATATATAAAAGTGAAAGAATATTAAATTAATGCCTCATATAAGTTTCCTTAAAAGGAAATAATAATTCTTATAAGAAAATATAAAGGATGTACAAAGAAAAGTTCGATTAAATTTTGATATTGAACCATAATTGAATTTCGTACAACAAAGAAAGGTATGTGCGACGTAATATTGTGAGGTGTAATAACAAAAGCATAACAAACATTATATCTTTTTTTCCTGTATCGTGTACTTACAAAATGCCACCCAAAAAAGTAAATACAACACAACAGATTTGTGGTTATTGCTCAGTCATAATCCGGGATGTGACTCATGTGCAAGTGACATTAGTGTTAAGACATGTGATGTATTGGATTCCGATGAGGAGGCATCATATGATCCGCCACCGTCAATGGATATTGAAACCTTACTCAAGAGACACTTTGAACGTTTTACAACAAATTATGAACGTGAGTTCAGGGACCTAAAAAAATCAGTTCTAAGTGAAATCAAGGACTTAAGAAAAGAGGTAAGCAAACTGTCAGAACAAAACGTCTCGCTATCAAATCAATGTTCTGCCCTGGATGACAAACTTACATCAGTTGAAGACAAGCTAAATGTAGATATGAGGCTGCGTACCAGCCAGGAAGAGTTTTTCACTGAACTTTCGGAACGAAAACGCCGTAAAACCAACGTGATTGCCCTAAATATTCCTGAGTCTGATAAAGCTGCTGGAAAGGACCGTTTAGAGGATGACAGAACAAAGTTAGTCACAGCTTTGCCTCCCAGTCTCAAGGATGAGGCCACTGAACTCAAGTTACGTAGACTGGGTCGTCCTACATCTGGACGTACACGTCCTCTTCACATTACCACCCGCTCAGCAGCCGATGCACTTTCCATTATCAAATACAGACCAACATCCAACAGACGAAAATCAGGTTTTATTTTCTACAGCTGATCTAACTCCCTCTCAACAACTTCATCTGAAAATTGGTCAAGAGCTTGATTCAATCGTGAATAGTGGTTATGACAGTAACACAATTAAATATATCCATGGTGTCCCAAGAATCGTTAAAAGAAATTTCGTTCGCTCAACGAGCAAGAAGAAAGTTATCTTGTAACCGTGCTACCAGAACGTCAGAGGTCTGCGTACAAAACTCTCAACATTTCAAACAGCATATGGTCTAACCAGTACGACGTTGTATGTATTTCGAATCCTGGCTTCACTCCCTACACTAATACACGATAACAATCGATAAGCTGAAAAGGTGCAGCGTAATTTGTCGCTGACCTCTGCTTTTTCTACAAATTAGTCATAACATCACTGGTGCTCAAGTGAGATCCTAAACAGTTTTGAACTCGCTGCTGGTCTTACCCTGAGGCGAAATAGATTATCTAAAACATCGAAATCCAAGAAAATTATGTTATCCATGGTCTTCAGAATAGACTGGCTAAATTAGTAAATTCACTCAATGGAAAATTGATTCTATGGAGAACATACGCTGCTTTTCCGAAACACTAAGAGACACTCTGCTCGTCTGAATTACATCTAAATCAAGTCTGAATTACATATTAACTTACAATTATTTAAATATTTTCCAGATATGTACACTAATATACCCAGCTACTTTGTATAATACTTGAATTTTTTATTTATATCTGTGTATATTGCGATTGGGTTAAATAATAAATAAATCTATATTAAGACCTGACCATAAAAATTATTATTATCGCGGCCTCCTTCATTAGGGGACCCAAACTAGACATTTGGGTAAATTTAAGAATGGCAGCTCTTCGGCCGCGCTCAAAAAATAATCCATGCGGGTCTGAACTCTGCGGCCCTCATCTCTTTGGCGGCTACGGCCGTACTCAAAACAAATACCTGGTGTCAACACTTCGGGATTTACGAAGAGAAGGAAAATTTTGAAAAGTTGCGTTACTCAT